TTCCCTACAATTTGATGGATATGATATTAATTAGTCACGTATCTTAAAAAGGCATGAACAAAAATATCAGCTAGCTAAATTTTGATGTAGATGTTTAATTTTCCTATTGCATCATGTGAGTATATGAAGAGGAAGGTCATGATAGTATGTCCCACACTAGAACATTTCACGCCTATATGTTTCTTCACCAAGATTTCCTTTTCATACAACTCATCCACCCCTCTTCCTTTGTCACTTATCTTTTGTGCAATGGCAAAGTTTCTGGCACTCTCACTAATCATATCAAGCCTCTTCATTGGCCTAGTGAGTGCAGAATGGAACATATTGAACCAAAGATGGGGAAAAAGAAAAGGGATAGTTGAAGAGAACTTGAAGAACTACTGTGAGAGTTGGAGGATAAATGTTGAACTAAACAACATTAGGGGGTTCAGTGTTGTGCCTCAAGAATGTGTGGAGCACGTGAAGAAATACATGACTTCATCTCAGTACAAGGCTGACTCTGTGAGGGCAGTGGAGGAGGTTAGGCTCTATTTGAGTGGATGCTGCACTTTCAAAGGTGATGGCAAAGATTCCTGGATTTTTGATATTGATGACACCCTTTTGTCCACAATTCCTTATTATAAGAAACATGGTTTTGGGTAAGTGCCTTATGCCAAGCCTTTTCTTTTTATTATTATAGTGGATACACATCAAATTAGTTTTTGGTGTTTTACTCTAAATATGGAATCCGATGAGTTATCATAGTAGTTAGATATTTCGCTCTAATTATGGAATTTGATGAGTTATCATAATAGTTAAATATTTCGTATTCATATAGTGTGAGAACAATCTATTTAATAGAGAATCTCGTGTCTAATTTCTGATATTTGAAAATTCTTTAAATTAGCGATAGTTACAATATTATAAATAAGATTAGTTTTTATTCCATGAATTGAAAATATCCATGAATGTAATAAAAAAAACTTTAATTATGGAAATTGTTTAGAAATTAACTAATTTATAAGCGATGATGACTATTCTATGACCTGTTGTCCACATTAATGCACTGAGGATTTTGAATTAATCTCTCATGAAAAGCTCATATTGTTGTTTTTGACTAGTTGGAATAATGTAAAGGCTATTTCTATCAGATCTGTTCTTTGGATGTTGTCGTGGTGAGTAGATCTAGTTGCTGCAATTTGGGTCTATGTGGTGCAAAACTGGTTCATGTCATTCATTAATGGTTAAGATGTAGTGGAATGAATTGAATTTTGTAGGTTGAATTTATTTATTTTGTGGTTTGTCTTTTAGCTAGGAAGTGCAATCTGTGATGCGTCATTTAGTGACGTGTGTAATTCACTCCAGCTTCTTTTATTTCCACTGACGAAAGTTCTTAAAGTTGTTTCAAGAATTGTAGCCAAAATCCCGTCTCTGTGAAAATCATCAAAAGAAGAAAAGGTGAATTACGTGACTAGCTAATCTGATCTAAGCAACACACTCAATCAACTTATACTTTTTAAACAAATTTCAACTGATAAAAGACTGTGTTAGAAGACATTGTTCTCTTCTATGATTGTGTCAGCTTCCACCCCCAAACAAAGAAATATATGGTGCAAGAATAAATTATTAACAGATTATTCTTTTTCCTCCTAGGGACTTATTATTTCCCAAATGAAATATAAAAGATAAATTGTATGGTGGAGTTTTTATTCTTAATTAACATAAATAAATTTTCTGAGTTATTAGAGTTAGGATTAATATTAAATTTGGTGTCTTACTTAATGTATTGGAATACATGGAAACACTAGGGGAGAAAAGGTGAACGCAAGCTCTTTAGAAGCATGGATGATGAGAAGCAAGGCACCTGCTCTAGATCACACACTTGAACTCTTCCATGAAATCAAGAACAGAGGGATCAATATCTTTCTCATTTCTTCAAGAAAGGAAAACCTTAGATCTTCCACCGTAGACAACCTTGTGAATGTTGGGTACCATGGATGGACTAGTCTTACATTGAGGTAATTCAATGATTCTTTATTTTTTTTATGCATTCAGTTCATGGGACCCACATTTCCTACGATCACAAAGTTAATTGTAACCGTTGAGAAAAGATAACACCACCCATTTTATCACACAGATCATACTTAAAATATACACCTAAATTTTAATCTTCATATAATTTAATAGATTGATTTTTTTTTTAATACAAATTGTCAAGCTTTTCAATTCATCAAAACAGGTTGAGTTTGATTAAATAACTCTAACTCTTCAACATATATAACTCACCAACTCAATACTTTTAATGTGTGAGTTGGGTTGGATTATTACCGGTTATGTTTTTTATTTTATTTTATATTTTTATAACATTTTTATAAATTTTTTAGTTAAATATTTTTACTAAATTTAATATTTTGTGAAGGTTTATAAATTTCACGTTATTTTATTATTTTACTCTACATTTATCTAACCTCATAAATGTAATATAATTTGTGTTAAGACAATTTAATAAGATATTATTCTTGTGATTGTGTTTTGATTATTTTATTTGTTTATTTTTGTTATGAGTTATCTAATTTTTATATTTTTAAGGATTAAATATGTTTTTAGCTTCTACAAAATTAACAAGTTTTGATTCTAGTTCTTGTAAAATTTTGTTTTTGTAACGACCCACCCTAGGCCGTCACATCAATAACTAACCATAAATCATATTTTATTTTTTAGTTTTTATTTAATATCTATATATTATCATCTTCTTCTCTTTTAAATTCTTCTAAACTTCTTTTTTCTTTGAGCAAGAAATGTGTAATGTTAAAGAGATCAAATGAGACATTACACAAAGTGATGATAAAAGAATTATAAAAAATAAAATGTCAAGTTATCAATAAATAAAATAAATTACTTTTTTCCATTATTTGCTAAATTACATCATAATAGGTATCTCTTCATTACAAATTAATCATCAATAATAACTCCTAATTAACTACAAAAGTCATGTTAGTAAAAATGCTACTTTGCATTACATCAACATGTCAATCTAAAATGTATCTAAAGTAGTTTGATTTAATATGATATTTTCACTAACAAAGACAGTAATAAATAAATTTCATACAACAATATTTGACATATTTTCTAACAAAATTTGGATAAGTATCATTAGTTTGATTTAATAGTTTGATTTAAAATTACATGATCAAAAAGACCTATTTTAAGTTGAGAGACTAAAAATCACTACCTCATCTACCAAGAATCACATACACAACACTACCTCATCCATATAATAAGTTAAGAACACATTTAGGAATAAGTTACTTGTAAAATCAAAAGAGAAAGAAAACAATAGGATAGAAATAGATTACCTCTTATCCTTAACGAGCACGATTTTGACACAAAGAGGTTGATGTCGATGTCACATTTGGCTGAGATGAAGGCGATGAAGAAGAAAAGGATAGGGGTGTCATATTATGGATGAGGTAGTCATTGAAGTAGAAGTAGAGCCTAACAACTACAATGGTAGGTTGTCAATCTATCCGAATAAGAAAGAAAACAAATAAAATAGAAATGGATGACATCTTATCCTCATATATCTATATATTATCATCTTCTTCTCTTTTAAATTCTTCTAAACTTCTTTTTTCTTTGAGCAAGAAATGTGTAATGTTAAAGAGATCAAATGAGACATTACACAAAGTGATGATAAAAGAATTATAAAAAATAAAATGTCAAGTTATCAATAAATAAAATAAATTACTTTTTTCCATTATTTGCTAAATTACATCATAATAGGTATCTCTTCATTACAAATTAATCATCAATAATAACTCCTAATTAACTACAAAAGTCATGTTAGTAAAAATGCTACTTTGCATTACATCAACATGTCAATCTAAAATGTATCTAAAACATTGTCATGTTAGTAAAAATGCTTACATGTCATCCTATAATATAATTCTTATTCTTATATATCTCTATAACTACAAACCCTATATTTTCATAGTCACAAAATCTAAATATTTGAATTAACTTTTTCAATAAACTCTCTGGTCTAACATATCCACAGCTCATCCACCTGTGGTGATTGCACTTCATCGCCTTCATTATCTCTCACCACTTACCCACCTTCTCCATGCCCATCCTCCAAATCTTCTTCGGTCGCAACTTTTTTGTTGAAGCTAAAACCACAACGGTCACTCCTTCACATTCATCATCCCTCGCCACATCTTCACCCTAAATCCTCCAAATTTTCATCAATCACAGCTTCTCTATTGAAGCGAAAATCACAATGATCACACCTTCGTCGCCTACGTGTGATGTTTTTGTTTTATTTTATCCTTATAAAATTAAAATTATTATTTTTAGTTTCTATTTTTATGTGATCATTTTTTAACTATTTTTATTTATTAAAAAGTAAAATAATTATCTTAAGTGTTATCTACAATCATTACTAATATCATATTGATATTTAATATCTTTAAAAAAATTTATAGGTCCTTAAAACAAATGTTATTTATCCACCTTAAAATAACTATTAAAGACTAAAAATAATTAATTTAGATTTTAGACTAATAAAAATCAAACAAAAATATTTTAAAGAGATCAAAATCAAAATTTACTCATTTTATAAGGACAATAAATAATGTTTATAAATTTTAAAATGAAAAAAATAAAAAAAAAACAAAAAAAATATTTAAGCTTATTTTTTAAAAAAAAATTAGTAGAGCCATAACCCACTTTGAGTTTATTTGGACAAAATTTTTTAACCTAATTACAAATTGAGTCTAACCCAATTCAATTTTTTTTTTTAAAAAGTTAGAAGAAAATTGGTTATTCTCTTTTAACCTACCTTCTTAAAATGTAAGAATCCATGATGATCACACCCAAACTCATTAGTCATTAGTTAATTTTGTACTTTCCCAATATGTATTCATTAAGTTATTCCCTTAACCCTTTATTATGTGGGCAGGGGTTTTGAAGATGAATTGGTGGAAGTGAAAAACTACCATTCCAAGGTGAGGCAACAATTGGTCGATGAAGGTTATCGTATTTGGGGTATTATTGGAGATCAATGGAGCAGCTTTGATGGGCTTCCAATGGCAAAGAGGACATTCAAACTACCCAATTCCATTTACTATATACCATAATTTTTTTCATTGTTTACCCTATTATGTGATCATACTCTTTAACTTTGTCAACATTAGCATAAGCTATTGTCCCTTCATCTATGTCAAAGGCTTATGAATATGGAACTTTTGTTATTCTATTACTTACTCCATATCAAAGTGAATGGACTTTTATGTGGGTAAAGGAAAAGGCTATTTCAAAGGGTCATGATGAGACAGCTTTATTTCTTTGATCGCATCTATTTTCTTCTTTTCTTGGGTTGGAATAGATGCGTTGTAAAATATATAAAAAGCAACTTTCATGTGTCACATGGTTGCTGACATGTTTTTCAATAACGTTTTTGATATCTTAAAAAGAATAATACTAACAAATTTGGTTTGATTTTCAAACGATTAACATGAAGAATGTGGTAATAATGAGGTCCCATTGGCCCATTTATTTCTCACCATGTCAAATTGTTGATTGTCCTTGTCTTATTTTATAGGCTAACTCTCCTCACATTGTCGAACCATAATTTATAAGAAAACAAAAAAGCACAATTGAAGGTGGGGCCATGGGGAAGGGTCTTAATCATAGTTTTAAAAACTGGACCGGTCCTCGAATCGGTTAAGGTACTGGGTCAGTGGATCAAAGGTTGAACCGGTGGGTCATTAGTTGAACCGCATGACTCGATTTTTATTTATTTTTATTAAAAAAATATTCATATTAAATATATTTTATACTTATAAATTTTAATAAATTCATATTTTATTTTAAATTTCAATTTTTCTATCTTATTTAAAATTATTTTTATTTTTATTTTGTAAAAAAATACATAAAAAATTACATGTTAAACGGTATATTAATACAAATTAAAAATATAAATAATATGTACATATATAATATGCTTGCAATTAATACCACAAGATAATATATGTAATATTTACATAAATATTATATTATTAAATATATAATTTAAAATTAATAATATACTATAAAAATTATTTAAGTTGTATATATTGCAAACAAATATATTAGAAGTAGTCATTGTTATATTTAATAAGACTCCTTGCTTTTTCATTAAGAGATTCAATTTTCATTATTATTTTTTATGGTTTATGGTCCATTAAAAAAAATTTTAAAAAAAAGAAAAAAAATTAGTTGAACCGGTTTGACCCATCGGTTCACCGGTTGAACCGAAAAATTGTCCGGTTCAATCCGGTTTGAAACGGGTCGACTGCATAACTGATCTAACTTAAGATTCGAACCGGCTAGACCACCGATTCCCGGTCTGACCGACCGGTTCGGTCTGGTTTTTAAATCACTGGTCTTAATGATGACAACATGGAACTCACTTACATTTATTTTTGAAATAACAATTTCAATTTTTTTGACTTCTTATATTTATACACCAAATTTCTAGTCTCTCTTCTACTTCATTTTCGTATTAGTTTTTGTTTTTATTTTTATCACATTATTTATTATATTCTTCAGTTTTGTCTTTTTGTTTTTTTCTTCTTCTCTCACTCACACAAACTTAAAAATTAGGTGCACATATTTTTCTATATTTGTTTTTCATGCTTTGCTGCCATAAAAATTAGCAGTATGCAAATGTGTTACTCCATCAGTCAGTTTTTTTTTTTTTTTTTTTTTTTTTTTTTTAAACAGTGTTTTTTTTTTTTTTTTTTTTTGCAAATCAAACGTGTTGTTTGATTTTCTTAAATTAATCTAAAATATTTTCTTGTATTAATTGTTTTTCTATAAAGTATCTTTTATTAAAATCAATTCTTTTTTATTTAAGATATTTAAATAGTTAATAGAGTAAGAGTCTTGTTAATATTAACAGTAGTTTAAAAAATAAATTTAATATTATTAATTAAATTAATCAACTTTCTCTACAATAATAAATTAAGTAATTAAATTTTCTTAAAAGAATTGGATAGAATATGAAAAAAGTAAAAGGAAGAGAAAACCAGCAGAAAAATCGATGCTTTGGATTTCCTTGTCTTCTGATTAACATTCACCAACCACATAAAATCACTTAAGTTAAAAATTAGAAGAAAGCTAATCCCAGCCTCCCACTTGAATGAAATATTTGCTAGATAATAACTACTATATTGCTTAAAAACAAAAGTAACTCACTTAAAAAAATCATATGTCTTACCTTTAATATTTAACTTTTAAAGCAATAAAATACACTTTGAAAGACAAAATATGTTTATATTTAATGCATGCACTAATAACATAAAATATTTTACACCCATTCAATTACACATTTTAAAATATAATAGATTTTTTAACTTTAATTATAAATACATTAAAAAATCATATCAGAAACAATTTTTTTTGTTATTGAGTAAATTTTTTTACCTTAGCAATAAATAAAAAGTAGACCGTATCTTTTACAATGAACCTTTAATTATTTATTTATTATAGAGATTAATTTTTTAATTTTAATCTTTCTGAAAAAGGTATTTCCAAAATTGCAAGCATGAAGATGAAGCATGGTAATTTAGTTTGTTTTTGGCTTATGAAGAAAATGAAAGAACATTTACCTTTTACTAATCATGTGGTGCAAAGGAAAGGCCACGTGTAGACCGTTAGATATTTTCTAAATGCACTCCAATCAGAGTCGTACGTAAGAAAAACATGATTACATTGGGGAATGCTATGTTATGTTATGTTACATAGTACCACCACCACTCCAATCACCGAGACTGGGCTTCACGCGCCACATTCGCGCGTAAGGTTGGCAGCGTCTATTCCTCCAAAAGGGACCAAAGCGCATTCCTTCGTCACCGTTCACTCTCGCTCGCCAGCACCCAACCTTGCCCTTGCCGGTGACGGAATTTAAAATCACCCGCCCTAGTCTCCATCAAACCTTCACGTGAACCCTCTTTGGGTGAGATTTTGATGCAACCGATTTCCGTTATCTTCTGTTATTTGCGAAAATACCCTTTGCTTCAATTCCCCCTTTTTTCGTTCTTTGTTGTGTCCAATTCGCATTGGCTCACTTCTATTCTCTTTCTTTGTGTCATTGGTTTCACCTGTTAACATTGGTAGGAAGTATGTTCCCAATTTACCCGTATTTTGAGGTTAATTCAACAGGTTTTGAGTTTGCATATGTATTGCTGGCACATCGTGTGAAGATTTGTTTGTGGAGTATGAATTGCTTTTCAGGGGAATTTAATTTAATTTTTGCTATGGAGCTGGTTAATCATCGGTTTATACTTCTTTTAGATTATTTTTTTAATAAATTATGGTTCCTTGTGAGTTGTGCCTATTGTTGGGAGCCTGGCAGTGATGGCTTGCATATTGGGGTGCTTTATTTATGTCTTGTTTTCTGGGTCTTGACTACCCCTTTGACGTTTGAAATGTGGAAACAGTATGGAAGAAACTGAGATTGGTAAAAAGTGAGGTACTCAGAATGCCTTTTTTTACTTATTGTCTGTTTGGACAACACCCGACAAAACTTAGATATAATACCATAAATTCTATTGGTATTGTTCTGCAATCAAAATTGAAGTTTTATTTCAGTAATATTCATTGACATTTAATAGAATCCTTTATTATGCATATTATCTGCTAGGATAAAAGCATCAACAACAACTATAGTACTTCATGTAAGTTTTATCCTTTTCTCATTGTGTGCAACTTTTGAATTTCTGCTGAAGCTTGCCATTCTTGATGTGTTTGGTTAGTAAGCTAAACCTGTACTGAGCAATATCAATGGTGAAATTGATTGTGAACTGTGATGTTCTTACTTATAAGTACTTTTCAATAGTATTTGTAATTTGTAGGCTTTGGTTCGTATTGTATGATGATTGTAATGTATTTTTTTTTTATTCTTTAGGCTGGTGTTTTATCAAACTTAGAGGATTTTCAAGCATGCTCCTTCGCTGTGTTGTGATACTTAGAAGCAAGGCGTTTTTTTCTCTTTGTAGTTGATTGCTGTAGCATTCGATAGATGTCTGGTTTTTATTGTATCATGTATCAAAGTTTTGCAGCATATTGTGACAAATAGAATTGTACCGTTGCATGTTTTGTTATCATAATTTAAACAGTTATATCTCCAGTAGAAGTGTTCCTCCTTTACATATTATTCTTACACATTGACGATCATTGTTTTTAAAACATTAAGACATACCTCTCCATTTTTATATCTGAACCATACATAGTACTATTTCAGAAATTAACCCCAACATCCAGAATGGTTAGTATAATTATTCCTAATTGCAAACATTACGATATTTTTCATACTTCAACCCATGGCATTGAGTATTTTTCTTACACTCAACTTTTAGGTTTGTGATTAGCAGCTATGACGGTTTAAGGTTTTTAAAATGTTCATATGTTCCTTCTATCGAGTTTAGATTTGTGTTTAAGATTACCCATTCTGTTTAATGTTTATTTTAGTCTTACGTTCATGATCAAGTCTTATAATCTAAAGAAGCAATGTTCTCACAAGCGAGTTTTTCTTTTTGTTTTTTGGGGTTAACTTTTGATGCTAAAGTATATTTTTTTTCTTTCATAATTGTAAAGATTGATGACAACTTGTCTGGCTTGGGCATCAAGAACAAAAATCAACCTTTGTAGAGTTTTTCTGGTGAGCATTACATCCAAGGGAAAATGTAAAGTTTAAAGCTTTTACTAGTTTGACTAGATAACTGATATTTTTATCTTTTCAATTAACAATTTAGGAAAATTATGGAAGCACGTCCTGCTTTCTCCATTGAAAGATCAAGTGCTAAGCAACTCACTAACATGGGGATGTCTGAAGCGCTCCATTCATCGTTGCCTGTCCTACCAAACCCTCTAGAAGAGACATACCCCAAATTATCTGATTCTCAGTCAGCTTTTACAGATAAAGAGCTTGGAACAAAACCTTTTACTCATTCAAGTCATTTAACTTCCAGTGGAGCAGTTGGGCATATGTTTTCATCTTCTCCTGGATATTCGACTGATCTTCATCACTCATCCTTTTCATCTCATGAAAAACAACACCCTAGAAATACTCATTTTATTTCACAGTCGTTGAGTAACATGGCTTCATTGCCATTATCTTATTCTTCAAATAGTGGACCAGTGCCTTCTACAACGTCAACCCCTTATTCCAATGGTAACAGTGTTTCCTGGCATACAGATCCCCTGCCTACCTTTCTTGATTTCCCTGTCAATACCTCCATTGATAATAATCAAGTAGAAAGCAGTGCCTGCAATATTGTGGCAACTGAAGAGTATTCTAAGAGAAATGATTGGCAGGAGTGGGCTGACCAGTTAATCAGTGATGATGATACTTTGACTTCTAATTGGAATGATCTTCTTGCTGACAACATTCAAGATCTTGAACCAAAGGTGAAGTTTTTAGTTCCTCAAACAAATGAGTTTGCAGAGTATACTTATTAGCAATTTATTCAAGGAATGTGTTAGAAACTCATTTTGTTTCTTAAGGTGGTGTACCAGGTCTCAAAATCATCTTCACAAGTTCTGATAGGACGCCAATCCCAAAGCCATCAACAACTTCCCACTTTATCTGGAGAAAATCGTGTTGGTGTTGCCCCATCTTCCTCAGCAAATTCTGTACCTGCCAAGCCACGGATGCGGTGGACACCTGAGCTTCATGAGGCATTTGTAGAGGCTGTCAACCAACTTGGTGGGAGTGAAAGTATGTCTATCTTCTTTCTCTCTTTTCAATGCAAGGCCTTAGTTTCTTTAACTTCTGCTTCCTTATTTTTTCCCATTTTCTTTTTACAGGAGCTACCCCTAAAGGTGTGCTAAAGCTCATGAAAGTTGAAGGATTAACTATATATCATGTTAAAAGTCACTTACAGGTCTATACAATTTGCTTTGTCTTCCTAGGTTTGTTTCCTTGCATGCTTTTGATGAAACATATTGCTCCATGAAATGCAGAAATACAGGACAGCTAGATATAGACCCGAGTCATCTGAAGGTACACAACATATGCATTGTATCACAAATACCTTATGTGTACTGTATAGATAATGTTTTGCATGTCTGTTAGGATGAGATCATTGGCTATTGAATAACTTTTTGATGTAAGAACCTTTTGCAATAGTATTTTCCAACTTGATAATTCTTGTCGAATTTCATATTAATTGGAAACTTGTTTGCTGTATATATATTTTGGAACTTACATGATATATACTTTTCAAACAAAAGAATCTATTGCCTTATATAAGAAGTTATTGATTGGTGCAAGCATGTAAAGTCTTACATTGTTGCTAGTGGATCATAGCCCTTTGTGTATATGTTTTTGGTTTCTTTTATGGTATCAGATTTGTTTCCTTCATTGTGCTACTGTATTATGAAACTGTTCAGGATGCAAGTTCGCGAGGAGTCTTTCCCTATATTCTGCACAAATTAGTTGTCTAAATGTAACGTGTTTAAGAAATGAATGCTGTGCATGTATGGTGAATACAGAAACAAGTATTGTATCTGGTAAAATAAGACAATGGAATCTAACAATTTGGTGAAAAATAGGCTACAGCAGCCATACATATGGACTTACATTCAAGTATCTTGGTATGCACTTGCACACGAAGTAAACACTAGTTTATTTTTTTTATATGAAATCCAAAGAGAATAGAAGAGTTTCTAAACTGCAAATAACTACCCAAGTATGCATTAACTGTAATTTTCTTTATTTTAATTTTAGGGTAAGGTTTATATATTGGAGAGATTATGAGACCTAACTCTATGAGGTCTGTTATTATCCTGGTGTTCTGCATTTGATGTCTGGAAGTAGTGTCTCTTAAATCGCTTCCTTGGAATCTAGAGCAATGCTCCTTCTCTGTGTATTCATATATTATAATGCACAATTTGTTGACTACTGTTGGCAGGAGCTGCAGAGAAAAAACTAAGTCCAATTGAAGAGATGTCATCTCTAGATTTGAAAACGTAAGTAAACTATCTATTGCTATTTAAGTAACTTCTCTTATGTAGTATTGTATTTCCATGAAAATTGATACATCAAATTGTTCAGTAACATTTTGTTCTCCGCTGTGACTTTGCTAATATGAATATTCTCTGCAGATCTTAATTATTTTATGTATTTCTCTTTAAATTTTACTGGCCATGTCCAAATCAATCTAAAAGGTACAAGAAAAAATGGCTTTTGAAACTTGTAATGTGGACTTAAGTTTTCCATTTATCATTGGTGTTAGTCACTTGTTATGTTTGGTGGGAAAAGTTGTATGTCCAAACATGTTAGCTGGTAATTTCATCCTAGCGATCGACACTAACACTCACAGAACTGGCATGCAACTTGCATGGAGTTTTAGCCCTGTAAGCTTATTTCTTCTATTGGTCGTAATTATCCAAATCTTATCAGTTACTTGGAGAAGTGAACAGATGGATAGAGAAAGAATTAGGGGAAGCTTCAAGAATGAATATAAGGAATAAAATAAAATACAAATTTTTTTATATAACCATCAATACATTCTGCAACAAGATTCTTAGTGGATTATAATGAAAGAATCAGGAAAGAATTTTGAGCCTTTTCAGGGATCCATCCAGGATTAGGGCTATGGGAGGATTAGTATTTACTTGCTATGTTAAGTTTTTCGTCATATTTGACAAGTATATGTACAGACATGAATACTAATTGATATGCTGACTTTACCACTGAATTGTTCACAGTGGTATTGAAATCACTGAAGCTCTGCGACTGCAGATGGAAGTTCAGAAGCGTTTGCATGAGCAGCTTGAGGTATGAACTCTGATCTTTCAGGAATTTCCTTCTAATGTGTTGAATTGTTAAAAGTCTTGAAATGTGATTCAAAGTTGCCATGACTATCAAAACTCATCATTTATAACATAGAATTAGTGAGAATAAACTTTTAGGACTTGCTGGTATTATGAATTTCAACTGATGTTTGTGAGCTTAGTGAAAGGAATTAAGGAATGTAACTTGCCTATAAAGAAAGGAGTTAATATTGTTTACTGTTCCTCTCACTTTCCGTACTTCTATTCCTATTTTTTGTTGAAGTACAAAGTTGTAGTTTTCAATAAATGATCGGTCTCAATAGACATTAGATTAGTGTCGTATCATTGTAGATACTTGTGGTACCTTTTAAGTAACAATAATTCATTAAGAAAGGAAAGGAAATAGTAGAAAACAGGAGGATCCTGAATCTTCCAAAAGCTACAGGGAAAAAAATTGGCTCAAAAGAGCAACTCAGACCCTTTGCAAGTGTGACTTAGAATCACACTTAAAAAACCCATAAAGGAAACTTGCGAAGAGGCTATCAAAGTGTGTTCCAAAGTTGTGAGGATGGAAGATAAGTATTTCTAAAATTTCTGGAATTAAACTCTAATGAAATACATTGGGTTCCTTCAAAAGGAGGACACTTCAAAGCATTTTTTATTGTCTTTTCTACTCCCAAAACTATAACCACCAAATCAGGCACACATCCAGCAATCTCTGAACAGCCCAAATGGCTTAACCAAAGTTGCCATGCTACCTCAAAACTCAAAAAGGTGATATTAATTCTTGTTATGATCTTATCCACTGCGATTTGGTTGTTTGTCTTTGCTATTGCTTAGAAATTAGATACTAAACATAAACAGAGCATTATCATTTTTAGGTGATGCCCATACCCTCGAGTCCTTGACTATCTGTAGAGGAGATAGAACTATGCTCATCAAGTCTTGCACGCTTTCTTTTGAACCTTGTGTTCTTTATAGTTTTTTACCCTTTTGATTTTGGGAGGAATAAAAGAATATGATTACTATAGTTAGTCATGTGGACTACAGGTATCCTTTGTTACAATGGCGAGAATGAGAACTTTTGTTCTTGGAGCGTGGAACCTATTTCTATTATATTATTTGGCAAGTAGGTTATGGCTAATAGAATTTTGTGGCTTGGGGCTTTTGTTATATCATATGCATGAAATGTATAAGGCATACCAATTGTCTCTTATGGTTGTCGTTCCTTTTTCCATGGTATGATCTGATATAGTTCTCCTATTTTCTGTTAGATTCAAAGAAATCTACAGTTGCGAATTGAAGAACAAGGAAGGTACCTTCAGATGATGTTTGAGAAGCAGTGCAAATCTGGCGTTGAAACATTTAAGGCTTCATCCTCTGCCATCGAGAGTCCATCTGGAGTGTCTTCTGATGCCATGAAAGATTCTCCTGCCAAAACTGAATCAGCAACCGTCAAAGTGGACAATTGCAAGTCAGGACCTGATCAAGCTAATGGCAGTACCCCAGTTGAGGAAAGCCCATCTGAAGTGGGTGAAAAGCAGGATGCTCCTGAAAGTCTAGCTTCTGAGAATCCTAAGAAACATGCTAGTGAAGATAGTGCTCAAGCCCCAAAGCGTCAAAGGACGGAGGAGTAAGCCATATGATCTATTGAATCAGCATTGACTGACAAGATGATACTGATTCATTTGAGATTTTTATTATTTAGTAAGGAAGACACTGATGTCTAGAGCTCCATAACTTTAGTTCCCCCGACTTGTTGTGTTCAATGAGGACTTGCATGTGTATCTTTCATTTTGTTACAAAAATGATGAGTCCAATTTTTGATCATGACGATCTTCAAACTTTTTATGTAGCATCCTGGTTAGGATGAGATTCTAGTGTACAGTACAGACAATGGCTTCATCTCAAATCATAAGTGAGGAATGAATTAGGATAGTATCTTACCAAATACTACCATCCAAAATTCTATGTTGATACGTACATCTACAATATAAATGTTTATTTTAACAGCTCAGAAATGATAAAAAGAAGGGTATTCTAGTTCTGAAGTTCGTTCTTAACAATGCTGAAGTGCATATTTATTGGTCGCCTAGTAATGTCAGTATATGCTCTGTCGCTATTTCCACAAGACAGGGTTTGTATGTCACTTTATTATATATTTGGCCCATTTGTTTCACTTGGAATAGAGTCATTATTTCTACTGTGACATGTATGCGAAGGCAATGGGTGTGTTGAGAATATGAATTAGCATTTATTATTTGAGTTTATTTCAGATTAATGGAGCATTATTAGAATTTCTACGGTTATGAATTTTAATTATAGGAATTATAGGTGCTGTTACACTTTTATGAATATTTATATTTGTCATTTAATTTTATGTTTATGAGCAGAATTTGTATCAGCTTTCAATTGTGCATTTAAAAGGTTGCAAGTATGAATAAAATATGAGTTTAAACCTTCTAATTTTTCTTGAATTCCAACAAGTGGTATCAAGAGCTTACTTCTTACGGGCTGTGAGGAAAAGTTTATTGAGCGCTAAACATATTGAGGTTGAGTGCAAACACTAAATTGAGAGATTTATTGTTTAAACAATTTTTGGTGCAAGGATGTCTACTTCCATCAATTCACCTGCAATTCCAATGTTTAATGGCCCAAATATGATAATTTTCACCATTAAACATTGGAATTGCAGGTGAATTGATGGAAGTAGACATCCTTGCACCAAAAATTGTTTAAACAATAAATCTCTCAATTTAGTGTTTGCACTCAACCTCAATATGTTTAGCGCTCAATAAACTTTTCCTCACAACCCGTAAGAAGCAAGTTCTTGATACCACTTGTTAGAATTCAAGAAAAATTAGAAGGCTTAAACTCATATATATTTTATTCATACTTGCAAATTTAAATAAAACTAGAGTAAATACAATTATCCTTGTCCTTCAGTACTTCAAATAAAATAGTAGATCCTTCCTTGATATTGTTGACTTGGCAATAGTCAGTCCATCCTCTAGTTAAATTGCAATGTAGAGTTGATCTAGTTTCCCAAGTTATAATGCATTCAAATGTGTTGCCTTTTGGATCAACTAAATCAATATGGTCGGCAGTTTTGGAAATAGCATTTTCACAAAACCCAATTGGCAGTTTATATCCAGGCACGTATTCGCAATGAATTTCACGATTCTTGACGTCTTTCAGAGTTTCCATTGCCTCTTCACGATCATAAGCAACAGACTTCTCCATTTGAATGAAGAATAGTTTCAAAGAAAAAGAATAGTTTTGGCTTCTGTAGCACAGTCAAAGTTCTTTGTCATATTTTCTTACTACACAACTTTACTTAGACCACTGCTACAGAAGCCAAAACTATTCTTTTTCTTTGAAACTATTCTTCATTCAAATGGAGAAGTCTGTTGCTTATGATCGTGAAGAGGCAATGGAAACTCTGAAAGACGTCAAGAATCGTGAAATTCATTGCGAATACGTGCCTGGATATAAACTGCCAATTGGGTTTTGTGAAAATGCTATTTCCAAAACTGCCGACCATATTGATTTAGTTGATCCAAAAGGCAACACATTTGAATGCATTATAACTTGGGAAACTAGATCAACTCTACATTGCAATTTAACTAGAGGATGGACTGACTATTGCCAAGTCAACAATATCAAGGAAGGATCTACTATTTTATTTGGAGTACTGAAGGACAAGGATAATTGTATTTACTCTAGTTTTATTTAAATTTGCAAGTATGAATAAAATATATGAGTTTAAGCCTTCTAATTTTTCTTGAATTCCAACAAGTGGTATCAAGAGCTTACTTCTTACGGGCTGTGAGGAAAATTTTATTGAGCGCTAAACACATTGAGATTGAGTGCAAACACTAAATTGAGTGATTTATTGTTTAAACAATTTTTGGTGCAAGGATGTCTACTTCCACCAATTCACCTGCAATTCCAATGTTTAATGGTGAAAATTATCATATTTGGGCCGTCAAGATGAAATTTGTTTTAAGATCTCAAGGCTTATGGAATGTTGTAATTTCTGAAGCTGATCCACCACCATTGAGAGAAAATCCAACCATTGCACAAATCAAAGCTTATGAGGAGGAGAAGCTGAAGAAAGATAAAGCCATCACTTGTCTACATGCAGGACTTGCAGATCATATTTTTACTAAAATCATGGATTTGGAAACACCTAAACAGGTGTGGGACAAGATTCAAGATGAATTTGAAGGCAGTAGCAGAGTCAAATCTGTTAGACTTCTCACATTGAAGAGAGAATTTGAATCTGCTGCCTCCCGTAGGATAATGAATTTGTCAAAGATTATTCTGGCAGATTAATGGATGTTGTGAACCAAATGTGACTTTATGGTGAAACATCATTTACAGATCAAAAGGTTGTTGAGAAAATCATGGTTTCGGTGCCTGAAAGATTTGAAGCCGAGATTAATTGAAGAGTCTTGTGATTTGCAAACTCTCACAATTACTGAATTGACCAGCAAGCTTCACGCATAAGAGCAAAGAGTCTCCACTAGAAGTGATGAAGCTGTTGAAGGTGCCTTTCGAGCAAAGCACAATGGAAGGAATTTTGGAAAGTCACGAACTTTCAATAAGAACAAAGGAAAAGATGAAGGTTCTTCGAGAAAAGAAATTTTTTTGCTTTGTTTTCATTGTCAAAGAACCAACCATTCTAAAGAAGATTGTTGGTTTAAAGATAAATTACTTTTTCACTGTAATTTTTGCAATAAAAATGGTCACAGTGAAAAGTATTGTAGATTAAAGAAGAATCAGCCTGAACAACAACTAGAAAAACAGGCAAATGTGATTGAAGAAAAAAATAATAATGAAGATAAGTATTTATTTATGGTATCTCAAGAATTCAATTCACATGAATTGAATACTTGACTCATTGACAGTGGTTGCACTAGTCACATGACTAAATCTTTATCATTTTTTACCTTCATTGACAAATCAATTAAGTCAAAAGTCAATATGAGAAATGGTGAAATTGTACAAGCAAATGGAAAATGAATAATTTTTATTGCAACCAAGAAAGGTATGATAATTGTTAAAGATGTTCTCTACATTCCAAAATTGGATCAAAATGTTCTTAGTGTTCCACAAATGCTAAGGAGTGGTTATGAAGTCTCTTTTAAAGAGAATTATTGTTTTATCATGGATGAACATGGTTTAGAGATTGCAAAGATTGAGATGACTAAAAACGGGTTTTATTTGAAATTTGATTTGATTTGATTGAAGATCATGATTTTATTGCTAAAATTGATAAGAGTAATGTTTGGCATGGAAGATTTGGTCACACTTTTATTCAAGATGTATTTGATATGACAAATTTCAACAAATGGTATTCAAAGACAAGAGAAGGAGTTAGATTGAATGGCAGACATTTTCACAAAGGCACTTCCAAAAGGAAAGTTTGAGAACTTGAGAGGGAAACTTCGAGTTAATAGCTACTGATACAAGGAGGAGTGTTGAAAATTTGAATCAACATCTATTATTTGAGTTTATTTCAGATTAATGGAACATTATTAGAATTTCTACGGTTATGAATTTTAATTATAGGAATTATAGGTGCTGTTACACTTTTATGAATATTTATATTTGTCATTTAATTTTATGTTTATGAGCATAATTTGTATCAGCTTTCAATTGTGTATTTAAAAGGTTGCAAGTATGAATAAAATATATATGAGTTTAAGCCTTCTATTTTTTCTTGAATTCGAGAAGGGCGTGTCGCAGAAACCTTTAGCAATGGAAATCACTTTTTTCCCACTCCATTCATTCACAAATTCATTTGGGTTCACAAGAATTAAAAGTATACTTGTCATTCTATAAACACTGTTGTCAAGACTAGAGTTAAGGAAGCATAAGATATACTAAGTTCTCATTGTATGACAATTCATCAAATCCAGGTGCTCGAGTCTTGTTAATGGTAGGGGTAAATTAAGCCTAAAAAATGTTTATCCACATCTTGAAGGTCATTACCAACATACTCCACTTATCCCACCAACTAGTAGTAATTTTAAATACGGCTCAGGAGACCTTTGTTTGGGAATCTATTTTTGGGTCATCATCTCGCATCTATTTCCTTTTGTTTCCTCAAATCGGAACATTAGTACTCTACCCAATACTTCTAGCATTAATTTTCTCAAGCGGTTGCTATTTCCCCTCGCACCACACCTTGCACACCCCATCACCCTCACTCTCATTTTCGCATCTTTAACCCCTCCCATTTCCCTTCATATTGGCATGAGTATCCTCCTTTTAGAGTTATTTATTTTATCAAATTTAAGATTTAAATTTGAGATCTTGAGGTTTGAATTTTTTTTTGGTTCGTCCCTGGAGTATCCACCGCCGATAGACGTGACTAATCTCCTCGTTACGTTGGAGGCACCTCAAAGGGTGGGATAGCTGGCCCCAAGATTTAACGCGGCTGCATACACAAGGCAGGATTCGAACCCCTGACCTTGCTTAAGCGTGGATCAAGAAACTGATAACTAAATTACATCCTTTAAAAAAAATTAGTTAATTTAATAAAGAGCATTTAAATTGTCAATAATATAAATTATTTTTTCAAAATTAACCTTTTCTCTTTCTTCTTAATTATTTTTCATCTAATTAATTAATGTTTGAAAGAGAGATATCACTTTATATTTTTATCTTCTTTAATCTTAATAAAAGATAGAATTTTTATCCATTTAATTTCAAATATTTTTTTATCTTTTGTTAAAAAGAATTGTTAATTAAATAAGAGTATTTTAGAAAAGATACTATTAATACAATCAACAATTAGGAGATGATCTTATAAAAGAGACAAATTAAAAAGTAAAAAAAGTCTTATATATATAAAGACGGAAGTAATATTAGTTTTTTTAGTTATTTAAACTCATATGAAATTGAAAATATTTTGAAATAACTTTTAAACTTTTGTTTAAATTTATAGTTAAAATATTCGTGTAGATTAGGTTTTTATTTATTTATTTATTTATTTTACATCTTGTAGATTAGTTATTGAACATGTAACAGTGGACAATAGTTCAATTAACAATCTGACACCAAAATGTTAAAATTTTCGTAGCACACCATAAAGACTAAGCTCCAAAATGTACACCTCCTTAAGTCACTTTTTCTAAATCCTACCATTTTACATCAAATTTACTCCAATTATTATACAATCCTCTAAAGTGAATCTCACATATTATCTCATAATATTTCTTTTAAGGGTTAAATATGCTTTCAAAGTCTCTCAAATAGTAAATTTATTTTTAATATCTTAAATTTAAAATCGATCTTAACTTTTATAATTTTAAAAATTTTAATTTTAATTCTCATACTCAAATTTTATTATGAAACCTATTTAAATATCATATTAAATTTAACTTATAGTGCATAATTACTTTGATCTATCAATTTTAGATATATTATTAGTGATTTGAGGAATTAAAATAAGATTTTTTTAAAAAATATATGAATTAAAAATATTATTAAATTTGAGAAAAAAAATTTATTCTAAATTTAAGGAATTAAAAATATATTTAAGTTTTTTTTTTAATTACAAAAGTTAAAGTCAACCTGCTCGCATAATAATACCGAATAAGAACCGGTTCTTAAACTTGTGAAGCTGACATAAACTTGGATTAGAGTGTGACATAGGGCTGAATGCAGAAAGCAATGGGGTCAACACCGCTCTAACTCAAACACGCATACAGAATTACACATGCTCCAATCATCAAACCTATCCTTTATTGTAGTATTAAATTTGAACTTCAAATATAATTTTACAACCGAGTATACATATTTGTGTGCAAGAAAATGAAACTAAACACATTTCTACAAAGTTATGACACAGTCCTACATGACACTATTTCTGGAACCCTGTAAGCTTGCTTATGGTTATCATGCCAAAAGGCTCGGCAAGATAAGCCTGCGTAGTGGCTGATAGTTCTTGTGCCACAGAACGCATCATGGGTCTGGACTCTGGAGCCACACGTGTGCATGCCAACGCTATGGTCACTGTGAACACTACTGCTTCTGCTAATTGGCCCGTTGGAGGTGGAAGCCGTTGGTCAAGCACATCCTTCAGTAGCACCTCTGCTTCCTCCATTGATGACAAGTACTTGTTTGAATGCATCCTAGTCAACAGTTCTCCAGGATGCTTTCCCATCATTATCTCCAACACCACCACTCCAAAGCTATACACGTCACACTTGTCAGTCACCCTCATGGTTTGTGCTAGTTCTGCAAATTACAAATTTTGTTAGTCACTATAATATATATCCTATTGTTGGGATTCAAACAAGTCTCACATCGATAAAATAATACAACAAATAACAATTTATATAATACAAACATACTTCAATGATTGAGAGGCCTTTGGTGATGACAAAAAGCAAAACCGTGAGGACTTAGGCCCAAAGCGGACAATATCTCATCATTGTAGAGTATGTTTGTGTAATAACCTTATAAAAATAACTTATAATATATCCTTTCAGACAAATATCATAAAAATAACCCCATCAGTGATATCATGTAGAGTATGTTTGTGTAATAACCTTAAGGCACTGTGTATGGCACAAGGATATGTTAAAGAAATGAGATGAAAAGATTGCATTAAGAAAGAAAATATTCATTGTATCTAAAATATAAATCATTTAATACATGTTTTTAAATTGTTGGAAATATTTAATACAATATATTTAAGGATTTAATAGTCATGTACTGTCATTATAAAAACTTTTACATTGTAAGCTAATTAGAAATCATTGTAATATATGATTTGTGATTGGATGACTGTTTTACGGTACAAAGCCTATTTTCTCATGTATTTAATATTTCCTTGGCATGATATATACTATAGAGTATATATGCTAGAATTGAAATTGGTTGGATCATATACCTGGAGCCATGTAGCCATAGGATCCAGCAACCGAGGTCCAGGTTGAAGTGTTGGAGCTTAGCAGCTTTGCTGTGCCAAAATCTGCAAGGCGAGGTCCAAAATCTGAGTCTAGTAGAATGTTATTCAATGTAATATCCCGGTGCACAATGGGTGGGGAGCAGTCAGTATGCAAGTATGATATCGCATGTGCTATTCCCTGCACAATTTTAAGCCTTGTAGCCCACCTTAGTTCCAATTTTCCTTCCTCTCCATACAATACTTTCCCCAAACTTCCTCTCTCTACATGTTCATAAACCAAGAACATTTGTCCCCTCCAAGAGCAGAACCCATAAAGCTTTATTATATTGCGGTGCCTCACTCCTGTAAGTGATTTTATCTCATTCTCAAAGCTCTGGCGGTTCACCGCAGGAATTTCGTCAGAGTTTGATATGTTCAGCCTTTTAACAGCAACAACTTGACCTGTGAGTAAATGTGCTCTATAAACACTTCCAAATCCTCCCTTTCCAATGCAGTACTTGTCATTAAAGTCATCTGTGGCCTTAACAAGTTCAGAAAATGTGAATTTCCCATCTCTTCCCCACACCATGCTAATAGACTGATCACTTTTTTCAATGCTTTTGGACTCTTCATCAAGGCGTTTTTTGGCGTGCTGCCTGCATAATAGGACTCCAACACCAATCATCCCAATAAATAAGCAACAAACCGGTATGATAACACCAAGAAGAACCTTTTTGTTTACCCCTCCAGATTTGCCTGGGGAAGACACTTTGGGGCAAGTTAATCCTTTTACCTCACCACACAAATCATTGTTCCCAACATAGGCTTCAGCAGTTGCTGTCTGAAAAACACCACCTGTGGGGATTCTACCACTCAAGTTGTTGTAAGAAAAATCAATAGATTGAAGGCTGAGCATGCTTGAAAATGATTGTGGGATTTTCCCTGATAGATGGTTGTGTGAGACATTGAGAATCTCCAATGATGCTAACTTTTCAAGGTTTTGGGGAAGAGCCCCAGAGAGAGAGTTGCTGCTGAGGTCCAACATGATTTGGAGTGAGAACAGATTGCCAAGTTCATATGGTATCTCCCCAGATAGATTGTTGTGGCTTAAATTCAGACTCAGCAAGCGACCACAATCACCGAGTTCTCTAGGAATTCTTCCACTGAAGTTGTTATTTGACAAATCAAGATTATTTAGCTGAGCCAATCTGCCATAATTCTTTGGGATTTCTCCTGATAAATGGTTACTACTCAAGTTGAACATGAAAAGCTGGCCTAGATTTCCAATTTCAGGTGGGATATTGCCAGTGAATTCATTGGAATGAAGGCTTAGATACCTCAATTGACTCAACTTACTTAGTTCAGATGGAACTTTTCCGGAAAGTTTGTTGCTTCCCATATCCATCAGAGTTAAGTTGACACATTCACCCCACTCCGGGGAGAGCTCACCAACAAGCTGATTTCTACTAAGTGAGATAAAAACAAGATTTGGGAGTACCCCAAATGCGTCTGTGATGCTTCCAGTGAAATGGTTATCATCAAGCCGAACTCTAGTTAGTGATGAACAATTTCTGAATGACTTTGGCAATGGCCCTGAAAAGCTGTTGTTATTGACTGCCAAGATAATTAGATTCCCATCATTGCACAAGTCAGGAGGCAGTTCTCCGGAGAAGCTGTTATTTGAAAGATAGATATGAGTCAAAGCAGGATTACTCTTTCCAAATTCTCTGGGAATGCTGCCAGTGAAGTTATTGGTGAACACAGAAAAATTTCTTAAAACAGTTAGTTGAGTAATGGTCTCTGGCAACTCCCCATACAAGTTATTGGTGTTGACATCAAAGATTTGCAGTGAGGTTAAGTTTCCAATATCCATGGGAATGGTTCCAGAGAGCTCATTGAAGAAAAGATTCATGACTTGAATGTTTGTCAGATTCCAAAGTGTTGATGGAATTTGACCAGAGAATTGGTTTTGGGAAAGGTCCAACTCTATCATTTCCTTCAGATTTCCAATCTCTACAGGAATTGAACCAGAGAATAGATTATTGTACAGATAGAGGTAATTAATTTTTTTCAACAGGCCAATCTGTGGAGGAATCTTTCCTGCAAATTTATTGTTTTGAACTTGCAAGGAGATCAACTGAGTCCAGTTAGAGACGAATGAAGCAGAAAGTTGACCAGAAAAGGAATTCTCTGATAATCCCAATTGTGATATTTTAGCCAGATTAGCTAATGACAAAGGCAAAGGACCAGTCAAACTATTCATTGCTAAACTCAAAAAGGTTAGATTTGTGCATAGGCCAAGCTCAGAAGGGATTGTAGAATTCAAAAAATTATTACTGAGATCAAGGTACCGGAGCTCCCTGAGTTGGCCTAATGAAGAAGGAATTTTCCCATTGGCAGAAATGTTATTCAATTCAAGAATTTGAAGCCCAGATATCAATCCTATCTCAGTGGGAACAGAACCATTAAACATGTTATTACCTATACGAAGTTCTTTGAGATTAGAAAGCATGGACAAGTTGGGTGACAGTTTCCCTTGAAGGCCACAATTGGTGAGGTTGAGGTATTCCAGCTTGGCCAAATTGCTATACAAGGATTCAGGTATGGTGCCATTCCACTGATTCTGAGAGATGTCAAGGTATGTCAAGTTCTGGCACTCCAGTATGAATCTTGGGAATTCAGCAGTGAAGTAATTGAGATCCAAAGCAAGGTAAGTTAAGGAAGGCATGCCTGAATATTTTGACCACTCAAAAGGACTTATAAAGTAGTTTGATCCAAAGTCCAGGTACCTTACCTTAGGGAGATTCATGAGCTGATAGGGAATGGTACCATTGAGATTGTTGTAATAAAAATTAAGATATTGAAGTTCTCTTAGCTGCCCTAGCTCATAGGGCAGTATGTCTTCAAATAAGTTGTGACTCAAGTCCAAAAAAGTCAGCTTGGAGAGGTTGCCAATTGCTGATGGTATTGAACCACCAAAATTGTTGGCATTGAGGTTGAGTTGGGTGAGGTTAGGAAGGGAAGCAAAGTCCAAGCCAATGAGAGTCCCAGTGAGATTGTAACCAGACAAGTTTATCTCGGAGACTGTTGAGTTGGTGTTGTCACAAACAATGGCATCCCAATTGCAAAGGTTGCCAAGGTTGGTGAGGGACCATGAAGAGTTTAGAGAGGGAGGAAGAGGAGGGGATAGAGTATTTTTCCATTTCACAATGGCTTCTGCTTCTGTTCTTGGTGATGCTGTGATTTTCAAGGGAAGCAAAGATATCAAAAGCATGAGAAAGATAAGAGCATGAACCTTTTGAAAAGTTGTCATGTCTTGCATATGGCTTAGCATCTATGTCAATATTTTACTCTCTTATATAGCATAATCGATTTCTGTAAGGGCTGCGGAGCTGTCAAACATATTATGACATGAGAATAAAGAATCCTACTAGGATTTAGTTAAGCCATATTATGTTCATAAAAGTCAGAGTGAAGAGGTAAATGTAAATATGGGAAAAAGATGTCACGCTATGCAGTATCTCCTAATCAACAAAGTATGTTATGATTGATAAATAACCTTACATCTTAAACATATGCTCATAACTTTAATTGGAAGAAGTTTATCTCTTAAATAAATTTCATTATGTCAAAAGATTAATCACTAACATCTTTGTTTAAAAAATAATAATAGTAATTGTATCCCTTGTTTCTTCAGTCAAATAAATGCATTGCAAGCTGGAGAGTCTTACTTGGAGTTGATTTGTTAGGTTGACTTTATGGTTTGATATTATTTTAACAAGCACAATTGGATATTTAATTTGAAAGAATTTACCCACAATCCATATGTCACATGTTTCGGTCTAAACGAATTTCAGTGTTTGCCCCACTTTCAACGAAGCTTCCGTATGGCCATTTTGGATCGGAATTGGAATCTCTGTAGTTGAAGTTTCTAGTGCACAAATCTTAACCATGTAATTTTTTTTCTACATAAAATTATAAACTAAAATGCAAGTTAATACATTTTAAACGTAAAAGATGGAACTGCATGACCCCTGAAGATATAACATGTAAAAAGTGGTGAGAGATTTAAGTAATATATAGAAAGTCTTAATTTTAAACTTTGTTATCGTAAATATTAAAAATAAAATAAAAAAGCAAGTATAGAGGATTGTCTCCTGTTTGGATCTCACTATAGATGTCAACTTGTTAGGTTCTGATCCAACTCATTGTCGCTTCGATTGCAGAAATCCCGTACGATATGACGTAATATATTTGACAAGTTCCATTGCATTACAAACCCAATCGAGATGTGTTTTCTTTACACACTGTTAAGGGAGAAAGATTCCAAATACCTACCTAATACAAAATTTGATGGACCAAACGTTAAAAAAGAAAAAAAGAGACGACGAAGACTGTGATAATAATGAAAACAAACTATTTAATTCGCTCTAAAATTGAGATTTTATGGTAAATAAATGTTATAATGTGAGTAATGGCGGATATAAACTCTCAGCGGGACGATTTATTTTAAAATATAAAAACTAATAATTATTATCATTACAGAAATACATGAAATGTGAGGTGAAATGAAATGTCTAGTTGAATAAAACAAAATATATTATAAAAGCTAAAAATGGAACAAAAGGTAAGAAAAATATTAATCAATGAAAGACAAATTTAACAAGAGAGTAACAAATAGGAATGAGAGAGTTTAAACTTTAAAATACATAAAAATAGGGAGTAAAATATAAAAACTATACTTACTGTTTTCTCAAGGCATTTGCACCTAGGGATGACAATGGGCCTCATGGAAGCGGGTAATAGTAAACTCGCCCTTGTCTCATTAGATGAAAATTAGTCACATACCCACCCCATATTCGTGCGGGTATCCATTAAGCGAGTATCAATGAATTTCTTGGATATCCATGAATATTTATAAATTTTTTAAGAAATTAAAAAATTATATTACAAATAATTTTAAGGTTATATTTAATATCATTCAAATATTAAAAGTAAAAATTCAATGTTAATTTTGAACTTGTATTTAACGTTAATTTTGTTGAAATAATAATAAAAATACAAGATAATCAATAACTTAAAACACATCAATCTCACACAAGTAAGTGAAAGTGTCATATCAAAAAACTACAATAATTCAATCTCATAATTCCAAACGACAGTAAACAACTTAAAATACATAAATCTTATTGCTCCAATCAAAGCTAGAAAATTTATCAAATTACATCCAACATAATTCTATGGATAGTTTTAGGGTTATGTGATACAAGAATAATTAGGATATTTAAGAAATATTATTAAACGGGTATCTGCGGATATGAATATCATCATCCCCGCCCCCGTCCCGTTTATAAACGGGTAAAAAATTATTCATTCCCATTATCCGCAGGTACCCAATTAGCCTATCCATTTATTATCCGTAGCGGATTTTACCCGCCGATACCCGCAGGTGCGGGTATTTTTGGCATCCCTAATCATACCTGCCCCCGCCCCATTTATAAACGGATAATCCGTCCCCATTATCCGCGATTACCCAATTAGCCTATCCATTTATTATCCGTAGCGAATTTTATCTGCAGATACCTGCAAGTGCAGGTATTTTTGCCATCCCATTGCACCCCTCAATCCTACATGGGCCCGCCACTAGATTTTTCATAAAATTTTTGTTTGTCTAGTTTAATTTTTGGTTTAAATATGGTTTTAATTTTTTTAATTTGGTATAAATTTATTTTTTCTCAAATTTAAAATTTTTGTAATTTAAAAAAAAATCTTTACTTAGTCTTTTTGTTCAATTTTTTAGTGAATATATCAAATATTATCTCACAAATTCTATTTATTAGTGTTTTTATTAATAAAAATATTATATTAAATCTAGTTTATATAGTTATCTCAATCTGTTGTTGTTAAATATTTTATTAGTGACTATTTTATCTCAATCGTGTAGTTAAGGAGGAACAAAATCCCTCGTCAATGAATTGAAGTAAGTATTTAACCGCTGAACCAAGACAAATTTCTACATATCAAATGAGTTCATATTTGACAGTTGACATCCATAACATAAAATAACTCTAAAATAATGTTTGATACTTGATAGTCAAGGAGCGTTTTAATTAAGGAAAATGCTGTATCCTTAAAAAACGGAGGCCGAAAAATTGTCCAAATAATTAAAAAATTATTATTTTTTAATAAATTTATTATAAAATAATTATCTTTTATATAAATTTATTAAAAAATAATAATTTTTTTAATATTTCGAAAGTTTTTCGCCTCTATTTTCGGGGCTGTAGCAATGCTCATTAATTAATAGTTATTTGACTGCATGTTTGTAGACTTTTAAGACTTCTACTTTTCATTTGATTTTAGTTTTTTTTATTTTTATTTTTTTACAATGAGTATCTTGTGTGTGGAAGGTAATTTCATTCGATTTAAATATAAACATTATAAGTTATTTTTTTAAGATAAAATGAGAATAATTTATGTACTACATAAAAAAAAAATTATGCCCTAACACGTATTATATTTGATCATATTTCGTTTTATCTATAAATAAATAATTTAAATATATTTTTAATTATTTAATTAAAATAAATTAATTTAAAACACTCAAAAAAATCTTTGAATCGTAAAAAAATAAGTTTAAATGAAACTATAATAATTAGATTATTGACTTTAAGTTTGAAATGAATTATGTTAAGAATGAAATATTTATTTTGTGTGTATATATATACGTTTTTTATGAAAATTAATAATTATTTTTATGATGAAGACATTGTACTAATATCATAATTATCTAAAAAATATTATATTATTTTTATTATAATGTTATAAAGTTATATGTTTATTAATTTATTTAAATAATTAAGGTTACTTTTTTAATCAATAGTTGAGTTTATTAATCTTCCATCAAAGCTTAAGTCAGTTAATTATTAAGGAATAAAGTTATTGCTTACTTTTAAAAATATCCTATTATAAAGAGGTCTTCTAAATATATTTTTAGACTATACTAAACTTTTTAAAAGAGATATAAAATCTTAAAAAATTTCTTAAGTTTTAAAAAATGAAATAAACTTATTTAAGTTAAAATTAAACTTACTCAAACTCATTTATCTTTATTTGCACAATAAAATAAGAGTGCTGCTATATCATCTCAAAAAACGTGGAATCATTCTCCTAAGTCCTAATAAATAATTAAGTGGCATCTGTAAGAAAATTTAAAATATAATAATATTCACTCTCTGTGTTTCGGTAAATTCTTCGGCAATTCTATTCAGAGAGTTCAGCATTTTCCACAAAATAAACAACATTTCTCACTTACATGTCCAACAACTTACCATTTGCTTGGATCAATTTAATACAATTTACAAGCTTTATAGATTTTCTTCAATGGAGATCAAATTATTCTTCTAGTAATTTTTGCTAGTATAGATTGAATTTTAATCGTCATTTTATTTTCATTTAATAGATAAGTTTACAAACTTTTGTAAAGGTCGAAAACCCTTTCATATTTTCTGACATTATATAAGTAAAAAAAAAGTATTTAAAATTTTGAGTTTAAATATAAGTAATTTTTAACTATTTTAACTAAATTTAATATTATTACAAAAAAATTTCTTAAATTAAATATGATTATTATTTTCAATAAATATTATTAAAGGTGATTTAAGAACTGAAGTTTAGTTTTTACTTCCTCAAAACCTATATATAAATAAAAAATATATTTAAATATAATTAAATTTTAATTAAATTAACTTTATTCAATGCTCTTAATCTAAAAGTATTTTAAGATAACAAATGATAACACTAATGTGATTAAGGATATTTTAGTAAATATAATATATATTTCAATATAAAATTATGAAAATTAAATGTACTTAATTATTTTTTTTGAGGGAAAACTTAATTATTTTTTTAATCTATATAAAATTGATTATTTTGTTTATATATGAGTTTAGAAGAAATATATAAATTAATAAAATTAAATGAACTTAAAATTTAGATATTTTTTATATGAGTCTAGAGAGAATACTTTATTACATAAGTTTAGGGTTTATATAAGTTCAAATTAACATATTTTATAAAAGTATTAAATTAATGTTTGTCACTTTAATGAAACAAAATTGCTTACATGACAAATTAAATACACAAATATGAAGACACATCCACCTATATTTCTTAAAGTATGTTTGACAAAGGTATTTGAATTTTATAAGTTCTTTTGACATATTTAAAAGTTAATTTGACTAAAATAAATTTGTTTGAAGCGAAAATTTATTTTAAAAATTTATTTTATTTTTATAAGTTAATTGAAGTAGCT